ATAGTTAAAGCTATAAATAATTGCTTCAAGAAAATTGCATTAAACTGACATATTACAGTTAATGCAATAATATGCAAAACAAGTTTCAAACTTAACAAGTTACTAGACAAAATGTGACTACTGACAGCTACAGTAAAAGTTGAAGTAACTAATATCTCAACAATAACATCGACTTACTAAATAATGTTAATGAAAGTTCAATTTCAGTTAAGTATCGCAGCTAGAGATAATAAGATGAAATTTATACAAAGATTTTTTTGGTCTATTTAAAACTTCATTATTGTAAGCTTACTAAATGCAATTAGAATGTGATTAACTCCGTTAAAATGTAAATTAGCGCATGTGAGTATTTTATTCAAGTATTAAATGTTATTAAGTATGAGTTCACTTAAAGATTTGCTTTGTTGAGTCATCTATAAAATCATTATAAATATAACTGCATTAACAGTTACTTTAAGTTTTAAGCTGACCTCACAACTATTAGTAAGTTCAATGTCAATACCAAGATAACTTTTTATAACTTAATATAAACAAAATTAAAATAAGTATAACTTTGACAGTAAAGGTAATCTTAAAAAGAAATAAACAAAAATATATGAAAAAAAAATTATTATATACCATATACTATATGTTATAGCTTTAACACGTCGAAAGCTAAAAACTAAATTAATGTTAACACAAAATATATTATTTTCTTTCTGTAATACATATAAAATATAAGTATCTATAATTGAAATGTTAAAATAGAATACAGAAAATAAAAGTTACTTTAAAACTGAGAGGCTTTACCACTCTAGAGGACTTCTTTTTTGTGGATCTTGGTCAACTGCAAGACTTCTCCTTAAATAATATTAAGCTTTTTAAAGCAAAGGTTCAGGTAGTTTAGAGATTCTAAGTTTTTCCTAATACGGTAACACAATGAGCCTATAAGACTGTAGGTCCTATAGGATCCCGGTGGATCGCCAGTACAACCTGACCTAACCTAAAGACAATAAAAATCTTTGTAGAGGTCTAAAACTATTGGAAAGCATTACTTAGACATTGAATATGTCTGTTGATATTTAAAATTTATAAAGACTATATTTTAAAATTACATTAGGTGTGCTTATCGTCATTACTTTTGTATTAATTATTAAGTTGTCATTGCTGTTATTAAGTTTTTATTATCTTTGCCACATATCACAGTCATAGACACTGTAACTAGTATTTGTGATATTTTCCTCTATTATTTCATTGATTATTGTTATAGTTTCTTTAGGTATCTATATTATATTCGAAAAATTATTGGACTTTTCGTGATAACAAATTTGGAAAACAACTTGAATAGTAACTTCTCGGTTACTTACGATACTTACGGAGATTTTATTTTATAACTATTTTTACTTTAGTGAAATATTTGGCGGCAGTGGCATTAAAATATTTAATTATCAAAGTTTGTTTACTGTTCTTAATAAATAATTTTAAAACATTTTATCTTTAAATTTTGAAATTATATATATTTTTATTCTACATTTAAATTCAAGTACGTTAAGCATCATATACTTAAGTTTATTTTAGCGATAAATATTAAATTAAATTGCTCCTCATAAGAGTAGTCTTAGTCTGAACTGCAGTTATAGCTACATATCACTTCTAAGGTTGTTATACGTTAGAATAAATATGACAACGAATGATTCTGCAGAAACTATAGTCTTAAGAAAAAGAAAAGAACTGATTGTTCCTTTAGTGCTATATAATAATAGTGCTGATTGTAGCCTGAATTGCCCTTTAACAGTATATAATAAAAATTGTATACTTTTATTTGAGTCATATTAATTGGAAAATACTTTTAATATCTTCAATATGAATGCTCAAGTGCACTGGGTCAACTCGCTTCAACATAAATAATAGTTTTTGCCACATTGACAAAATGATTTGATGAAGTAAGACTTGATAAGTAAGACTTAAAGTAAGACCACGTAATTTATTGCCGTGAAAGATTTACAGTATATGAAAAAATACTTAATATAAAATGTTTTTGTATACACATTTAGATTTATTTATTTATATGTATACATATATATAATTAGTATAATTTTTATATCTTATACATCTTATAACACAGCATGTAATAAACATTATTTTAAACAACTTAAAAAACTTAGAGATAACTTTTTAATTATTAACTTTTCTTTTTATAACCCATGTACACATTATACCTTTCAACCTTTTATTATTACTAGACTAGACTTTAATAAAAAACTAATTTAATGTTTGAGTTTAAAAAAGTGTCGTTAATGTAAGTGTCGTTAATTTTCTTAAGTAGTCTAAAAATATGTCACCAGGAAGTTCGCAACATGAGTTCAAGATTATATAAATATTCCAAGCTTATATCAAGACAAACTACAGCGTATTGCAAGTACATACCTCAACACTTGTACTCACATCTTAGAATAGATATGCGCTCATACTTATAAAAACCACTTAACCTATATATTTAGTATGTAAATCTTAATAAGGTACATTTCTCTGGCTATTCGTTTAACTATCCTTTTATGCAGTTTTAAGCACATATTTAAAATCCAACTTAGTAAGAAATTCAAAACAGCTAAGAACTTTAATGTGCCCACGTTTTTTTTAAATATAGCTATAAAAACAATAAAAATAGGTTTAATGGCTTTAGTAGTACTTCACGCTGTCAGTGGTACTGAAGACTATTGCTATATTAACGTGATTTAAAATATTAGTACATTGACATTGATTTTATACTAAAGAATAAAAAAAAATACTGAAACAGTGGTTGATAGACACATATCAAGAGTTTAATGGAAAGTGTGAAGAGGTAAAAATGAGTATGTTTGGCATTGGTTGTTAATGCAGTTTTTTAATACACTTAGTAAAAGGAAACTTGAAGATTATATGCACTGTCTTTTTTTCTACTATTTTTTAAAAGAAAATATATTTGAAAAGAGATAATAATGGATATGGACCCTCGTAACCCTCTTTTACTGCAATCAAAATAATGAAAATTGGGTCTATTGGAAAAAGGCTTCACTGAATATAATGGACTAATGTCAAAAGTATAGCACACCTATATTCAGGTATATATATACAAGAAGTTATGCAGATATATTTGATATATTTATTGATATTTCAGTAAA